ATTAACACTACTGGCTTCTTCACTTGAAGGTTTGCTTCAGCAACTTCTTTCTTTGAAGTGGACTGAGCCAGCCCTTGTGGAAGTACTGGGGCACTACTTGGATGCAATGGGGCCATTTTTGAAGTATTTTCCAGATGCTGCAGGCAGTGTCATTAATAAATTATTTGAGCTCCTAAACTCACTTCCTTTTGTTGTCAAGGTCCATTTCAATATATTTACTTTCACTTTGATATTCATTGTATTTTAGAGAAACTTTAAAATCATATTATTCTTCTGCAGGATCCGTCTACAAATAGTGCACGGTACGCAAGGTTACAAATTTGTACATCATTTATTCGTATAGCCAAAACTGCTGACAAAAGTATTCTACCTCACATGAAGGTGACTTTAGTTTCTTAAATATTTCCTTTTATTTTTCTGGTTCTTGTGTATATACAACTTTTACACATTTTATATGAATCATATGCCACTAGGATGAAAGTCATCAAATTATTTTACGACATTTTGTGTAATTGGTTAGAAATTACATCAGTAGAATCTGTCATATGATCGTATCCATCCTTTGCATGTAAGTTTGCTTCCTAGCTATTGTGTAATTATTAATTGGGGTTTGATGAATTACTGGTATCCGAGAATGATACTTTTGAATGCTCCCCGTATTAAGGTGTAAATAGTCCAAGGTTCCCTAGGAAAACAAAAAATTTAGTCTATATCCCCACTGAAGCAAACCCACGAACTTAGTTCTTGGAAATATCATTTTGTTTATTCACGTTCTCATGCGGTATTTTATGTAGGGTATAGCTGACACCATGGCGTATATGCAAAGAGAAGGTTGTTTGCTTCGTGGTGAACATAATCTTCTAGGTGAAGCGTTTCTTGTCATGGCTTCTGCTGCTGGGTAATGATTCTCTGGCATGGATAGATATATTTTTGTTGTCAAATGATTCTATTATTGAAAATTTTGAAAATTTATGCAGAATGCAGCAGCAGCAAGAAGTTTTGGCCTGGTTACTAGAACCCTTGAGCCAGCAATGGACGCAGCTTGAGTGGCAAAATAATTATCTATCTGAACCACTAGGTCTTGTTCGCTTGTGCTCCGAGACCCCAGTTATGTGGTCAGTTTTCCACACTATCACATTCTTTGAGAAGGCACTTAAGAGAAGTGGAACCAGAAAAGCACATTTGAATTTGCAAAACAACTCAACAGAAACTGCCACTCCCTTGCACCCTATGGCTTCTCATCTCTCATGGATGTTGCCACCTCTTCCAAAAGTACGCATGTTGCTCCCGAAAATTAATTGTGTTAAAATTCCTCATTCACATTTCTTCTAAATGCGGTACATTTTTGGCCAATTGTTTATGACAATATGTTCTCACTGTGACTGCAACATGGTAATAGTTGGTGCATGTTGTTGATTTGCAGCTGCTTCGCTCCATTCATTCCCTTTGGTCTCCATCTGTATCCCAAACACTACCTGGAGAGATTAAAGCTGCAATGACCATGAGTGATGTTGAGCAATTCAGTCTTCTTGGTGAAGGAAACCCTAAATTTTCGAAGGGTGCAGTAACCTTTTCTAGTGGATCTCTTATCAGTGCAAGTAAGGAAGGATACACAGAACCAAATGAATCAGACATACGAAATTGGTTGAAAGGTATCAGAGACAGTGGGTATGTATTCCTGCATCTACTAACTTATTAATCCTTTAAGCCAGTTTCTTTATTGGTTCATCATCCATGTAGGTTTTCTTCATTTAGCGTTGAGGCATTGTTTATAAATGCAGGTACAATGTATTGGGCTTGGCAACCTCTGTTGGGGACTCATTTTACAAATGTTTGGATAGTCAATCTGTTGCTCTAGCTCTAGTGGAGAATATACATTCAATGGAATTCAGACATATCAGGCTGCTTGTTCATTCAGTTTTAATTCCCTTGGTTAAATTTTGCCCTGTGGATTTGTGGGAGACATGGTTAGAGAAGCTCTTGCACCCATTATTTCAACACTCCCAGCAGGCTCTTAGTTGCTCCTGGTCCAGTCTTCTACGTGAAGGGAGAGCAAAGGTCCCAGATGCCCATGCCATACTCGCTGGGTCAGACTTAAAAGTGGAAGTAATGGAAGAAAAGCTACTTAGGGATTTAACTCGGGAGATTTGTTCACTCCTCTCTGTTATAGCTTCACCACAGCTAAATACCGGGCTTCCTTCCTTGGAGCACTCTGGGCATGTTAGTTGTGTTGACATTTCTTCACTCAAAGATTTGGAGGCATTCACTTCGAGCTCTATGGTTGGGTATGTTTGTTTGACATTGTTTCTTATCTAAGTAGCTTTTTCTGTTGGTCTGTACCGTTGTACTTTTACAGCCTTGTGAATTTATTTTTCCCCACAAGTTCTCTGGTCTGAAAGTGCACTCCATTTACAGTTTCCTTTTGAAGCACAAAGGTCTTGCCCTTCCAGCACTGCAGATATGTTTAGAAGCTTTTACATGGACAGATGGTGAATCCATGACAAAAGTTTCTTCCTTTTGTGCTGCTTTGGTTGCTCTAACGATATCAACAAATAGTACGGAACTCCAACAATTTGTTTCTAAGGATCTCTTTTCTGCAATCATCCAAGGTTTAGCCCTTGAATCAAATGCTTTCATCAGTGCTGATTTGATTAGTCTCTGTCGTGATATATACATATATCTTTGTGATAGAGATCCAACTCCTAGGCAGGTTAGTTACGGTACCTTCTGCTTACCAATATTTTGGGATGGTAGTAATTATACTCTAGTTATATTTAACTTATCAAACTTAATGGACGTGCTTCTTGGGTTTCGCAGGTTCTGCTCTCACTCCCTTGTATCAAACAGCATGATTTGCTTGCTTTTGAAGAAGCTTTGACGAAGACATATAGTCCCAAAGAACAAAAGCAACATATGAAAAGCTTGCTATTACTAGCTACTGGAAACAAGTTGAAAGCCCTTGTTGCTCAGAAAAGCGTAAATGTAATAACAAATGTATCAAGTAAGTCCAATTACTGACTTCACAATCTCTTTCAAGCTTTTAAAAGAGATGCTTTCCCAATGTTGCTATAGTTAATCTTAAGCTTCTTCCAAATATCTTCATTTTATATGAGGCATTTCCCCCCTGTTTTTTTCGCTACTTGGTCTCTCCCAACATTAAAACATTCCGCAGACTAGGTTTCTTGTTAACTTTAGATCTTTAAATGTGCTAAAATCTTGCTGCATCTAATTTTATAAGGTTTATGAAGGTGGTAGGAAGGAACCTTAGACTCTAAAGAGCTTTTCATTGTCTCCCTTAGTCAAAAAAAGTGGATACAGTACATAAAAAATATAAACATACCTGGCTCGGTTTGTCTTTCCCTCTTACGAAGGTCTGATAGATTTAGTGTTGATTTCTTGTCTCTCTCCATCAAATAGATTTAGGTTCAGGTTCGGCTTGATCTTTTCTTTTCCTTTTTGAAGATTTTTTACATTTTGTTCAAAAGCTGTGTAATTATGTAATAGCTAGTCAATTGGGTGTATATATTAACTAGCATACTGCTGCAATCATAATTTCAGCAAGGCCTCGCAACACCGTCAACGTTGCAGAAACCAGAGTGGATGAGGGAGAGAGTGTTGGACTGGCAGCCATATTGTGATGTATGTGTGATCTCTTGTACAGAAATGAATTCAAGTGGAAGACGGAAAATCCTGTTTGAGGAATATGATGAGGTAATGGACCTTTTTCTTTTTTCGGCCAGAGGTCTACACAACTTTTCTAATGGGTTCACCTCAAATAGAAGATACATGACACCATGTTGTACTGTACTGCCCTGGAAATTAGGTTTTCAGACAGATACATTTCTTTGTATAGCAGCACTAATCAGAGAAAAGAAGAAGAAATCTTTGTTTTAGCTGTTTCTTTTTTTTATTAAATCTTAGGCAGATTAAAACCACACTTGCCAGTTTTCGTTTCACTTGACCAGTCTGGACCTCTCAAACCAAACTTCCATGTGCATGTCATGAATGCCGTTTGCTACCATATCCTTTTCGAACCATGATTGCTTATAGAGAAGATGTAACAGCATGCGTGCCCCATTTGAATTCGGAAACGTGATGCAGATTGTCCAGTTAGCTCAGCCTTTGATAAGCCTGGAACCCACAGTGTCTATATGGCTCGCAACTAGCACGCGCACGTGACTGTCACTAGTAAAATGAAATCATTCATCAGTGATTAAAAACGGTTTATCATCACAAATCCTAACGGTCAACTATTTCATTGTTGTTTCGTTTGGACAGATCGTGACACGTGGATATGGTCCAACATGAGAACAAGTTTCATGTCGGTTAAAATTGCTTCGTCCCACCCAAAAAGGGTTAAAATTGCATTATCTTTCTTCTCTTCGGATTTTTATTTTATTTATTTTCTTCTTCTTTGCGAGCCTTTTGGTACCGACATCTGTTGTGTTGTGTCCTTCCAACTAGTCTAATTAAATAATAAATTCACAAGGAGCATCTCAAAATCTATGCCAAATGCCACGCGTTGGTTGGTTTCGGGATCATATATGTTCGTGGTCAGTAAAAAATTAATTATTGTATGGCATTGTTACTGAAATACTGTCACGCTTAATAATAATATGATCATGATTCATGTTACACCCTTTCTAAGCAGAGTGGACTATAGGGTATGTAATTGAATGGGAGATGCTTCATTTTTTTAATAGATATTTATAAAAATACCCAATCCTAGACATGTATTTATAAAAATACCCAAGCACTATTTAAACATAGAACCATATCCAAAATGGGTTTTGGGTATGTGTGTAATGATGGGTTTTGGGTATGTTTATAAATGGGTTTTGAGTGTGTAATGATGATTTTTGGGTATGTTTATAAAGTGTTTTGGGTGTTGGGTATTTTTATAATTTCAGCCCCCATTTTGGGTATTTTAGTGAAACTCCCTTTTTTTAATGGTAGCTGGAAGGAATGGTAGGTGAAATGTGTTAGATGAAAAGGAAAAAGGAAAAAGTAAAAAGGTTAGAACTGGAGGGATATCATATGGCCCAATCAATGTGAATAATATTACACACATATATAGTTAAGCTATGCGAACATAGTCCAGCTGTTGTTTTTAGTCTAAACCAACCCCCATCAGCCTTCTAAAAGCTTGTACGGTTTCCAGAGCACACAGCACAGTTGCCACACCTGCACTGGCACAAATCTTATTCTAAGACTTTATTTGGTATGGTGGAGAAGGTGATCGTAGTGGCCTAGAGCAGCTACCAATGAGACCCAGAGGACCACCCGGACCGCCTGGTTTGGGCGGCCCTGGTCCGCCAGGACCTGGTCTGCCTCCTCTCTTCGGTGGCTTTTGTGATGTCATAGGTTCATGGTATGTCAACTTGCAGCTTTGTTTGTCTGATGTTCTGAATCACTTCTCTCTCCTCTTTATTAGAATCACTGCATACATTTGGAAAATGATGAGAAAAAAACAATATATAATTAATGCGGCGTAATTTGAGAAAAAAACACAAGAAATATCAAACCCTGGTGTGAGCTAGTGCTTTTGTTTTCTTGATCCACAGATATATGCTGTGTATTATACTTAAAACATTTCCTTGTATCCAAACCAATAATTTCTTCGTATGATTCATTGTCTTCTCTATTTTCCTTACTTTTGTGTTATCCATTTAAAATAAAAAAAATCCATAAGAATCATTCATCCCCTGTTCCTAGCTGATGCCTTCCTTTTTTTGTTTCCTTACAATTATTTATTTGCTCGTATATTTGTTTTGTTTTTATGGGAGTTCGTCGTTTTGGTTGGTTGCAGTCTGAGTTTTCTGTGCTGCTGCTGGCTGTTACAAGACTGCTTTGGTGGTGGGCCATCACCACCAGGGCCTCTGGGACCTCCTGGCCCACCAGGACCTGTGGGACCCCCTGGCCCACCAGGGCCACCTGGACCACCACCCCCGCCATGAATAATGAAATGAATGATGCATGGATAATGGATTCATGGCATGGCATTGGCAAGGCAGCTGCTTGCTTAGCCATATATAATTGGGTTATCTTATCAGTTAATTGTAATGTAACAATATATATATATATATATATATATCGCATTGTAATGTGATCAATCTCTGAGAGTCAGGAGTGAGTGAGAGAGTCATGGTCATGGCTGAGTTTTATTAGTCACTGTGTCTGTCTGTCTGTTTGTCTGTCATTTGAGTTTGCCAGAGGCTTTTTAATCAGCATCTCTCTATATACCATTCGGAATAAAATAAAATATATTCATTTAGCTCATCATCGATTTGCAACAATTTTCTGTTTTATTTAAATTAGATGTTGAAATGAATCCCAAGAAACAAATCTAACATTGATCATGATGTTGAGTGTTGACCGCAGAATGTTGAAATCAAAACGATCACAACATTAAGGTTGTCAGTCGGTCATCTGATTCAAACAGATTATAGTAGCAGTGCCAAAACGAGTGGTTCGGATAATTTGAAACAAATGCAGTTTTGAATGTTAGGTTTATGTCTCAACAGTTGGTTATATATAAGAGAAGTAGATGACACACTGTCAGTGAGTTTCGGGTGGCCAACGACTTCTGCTAGCCTTAATCAATGCCGGAGTTTTCACTGTAATGCCTTACGTACCTTATGAAAAACAGGAAGAAAAAAAGTGTGAAACAACAACAGCCCCCTCCCTGGGTCCCTATTTATTGTCAACCTCTCGTTAGAAATATCAAGAATCAATACTTGGCCCTATATATATATATATATATACTAGAATCTCATTAGACACTACCAAACCTACGTACATTGTATTTTGAGCGAGAGAAAGGAAGCGATATCACCAAAGTGCTTTGCTTGGTTAAGAGAGAGAAAGAGAAGAGAGAGAGAGAGATGCCTCCACCATGGGGACAGCCAGAAGGGCCGGGCTTTGGTTGCTTTGGTGGCGGCCTCTGTAGCGGTACAGGCCGCTTTCTATCATCTTGGTGAGTTCACTTTGTATTTTTAAAATATTTTATTCATATAAATTGTAATTGCTCTCCCAAATTATAAGTTAACAGACAATGCAAAGTAATCAAAATGTAGCTGCATCTGCTGCATGCTTGGTTCGATTTTTTTTCCTTTATTTTTAAGGTAATTAATTCCCTTATTAATTCTAATTTAATTGCATAAATTTATACATATGTATGGTAATTAATTCCCTGATTAATTCTAATTTAATTGCTTATTTCATGTGCTGCTGCTTCCTGTTTGAGAGCTGCTGTGGACCAAGGGGTGGGGGTCCTGGTGGGCCCGGTGGTGGTGGACCTGGCTTTTGAATGTGATCTTCTGCATAATGTTGAGTTTCAAGCTCAATATATACGTGATGTAATAACAAGTGAGAGAATATCGGTGATACGATTTTTATCATCCATGCAAATCAGGTTAACATCACATAAAATACTTGCAAGAATATAAGGCTATTGTAGTATAGATGCTCATACAAGGTCGTTTTCCTCAAGGACTATTTAGTAATTAATGTAAAAACAATCTCTAATTAACTACTTAAAATTAAGGGCTAAGAAGGATGATTCTGAAATTGTCTAAAAACTACGAATGTTGATTAAAAACAAATTTGATCAAATAAAAGAGTTTTATGATCCAATTTATAAAAGCACTAGGGTTTCACAATCACCTAGCAATCCTATGAATTTTTACCAATTACTTATGATCTGCACATGCCACTTTAAAGGTTAGGTTTTCTTAATTTATATTATACTTGGAACCTCCAACATAGAACGTATATCTAACATGCAACCTATCCGGACGTTCGGATCAAATATGAACATGAAAGACTTATTAAGTTTTGTGAAAACACTTTGAAAAACCATGCAACCCTTAAGAAGTGGTGTTCATCTTAAGTGAAATTACAATTATTAATCACAAGAAGTTAGCGTCAATTTCAGGGAACCTTCCAACCAAAATTGCACCCAATTACTTTTCTAAATATCCTAATGGTGATCAGGCATTAAGACAATTAGATAGTTTTAAACAGTGATTAACAATTCAAAGTATGCATGCAATCAATCATAAGCAATTAAATAAAAATTACATATTCATGCTAAGGTTCAAGGCTTCACCTTAGCAAAATAGAATTAGTTACGCATATTCATAACTAAAATCTAAGAAAATATCATTCGAATGAATAAGAATAAAAACACCTTGAAGTAGAAGTTCTTCAAAAACCCTAACCCACAATGTCATGTTCAAAAGCCAAAAGAGAGGTCCAAAAATTGCTGTGAAAAAGAACTTAAATACCTCCTAAAACCCAGCTGCCCAATCCTCACAAGGAAACTAGGTTAAATAAAATAATACTGGGATATAAAGTCCAAATTGGATTGGGAGAATCTGCCCACAATCTGCCCAGCCACGTTTTGGCCTCAAACCTCCTCTAAATCCGGCCCAAGATAGCTTGTTTTAAATATAGAAACGTTATGAACACTTTTCCAGAAGGCCACGAACCCATCTGAGGTCATCTTGGGCTCCAAAAATGCAATAAAAGCCCAAAACGTCGTTATTTCAGCACCGCGCATTGCTCCTTTATTTTATTTCCAGAAAATAACCGCTTGGTAGAAAAATCTGAATTTTTGATACAATCAAGCTAAGTGACTCAGGAATCGTTTTTCACTTTCGCATTCTCATATAAACAACTACCATTATTTACCCAAAAAATACCAAAGATAAACACACGGATTATGACAAAACACCTTGTCAAAAGTCAAAACACGTACCGTACGTTTGTCAGTCGGTCATCTGATCCAAACAGACTATGTATACAGGGACGAACCCACTAGCACGCTAACCTGGGCTAAAGCCCAGGTAACTTGTTTTTTATTTAAGCTAAATTAATACTCTAGTCTAGGTCATCTAAATAAATATTATTAACTATTCCCATTAGGATAAGGCTATCCACCCAAATAAAATATTACTAATCCCACTAGGATTGGCTGACCAAGCCAACAAATAAATAAAAAGAATTAAACCCCACACCCTACGTGAAAACACATTAGACTCTCACAAACATTCCCTCTCTCCTCAGACTTAATTAAAGCAAACTAAGGTAATTTTCCTTTCTTCTTCTTCTTCTTTTCTTTTGAAATTTTGGGGATTATTTAGGGTTTATGAAGTATCAATTAGGGATTTACAATTAAGGTTTATCAATTAGTTTTTTTTATCTTGGTGTTCTTGCTTGCTTGTATGAATTGTCAATTGGGGATTTTAATTCGATATTTAACTATTTAAGTATGTAATGTTTTTATTGAAATTTTTGTTGGTCTATATGTTTACATCTTCTATATATTATCCAATAGGTTATACTTTATAATGTCGGTCAACATCGTAATGTTAAGAGATCAAGGACTATTCAAGATTTTTTTAAGAGAAACAATGATGAATCATCAACTAGCATGCCTTCGGGTCCTTCTCTGTCTCCTCCAATATGTGAGGAGCAACCTCCTTCTCAACCTCAAAGAATTGAAGATGAAAACGTAAGAGTCGAGTCTCATCAAGAAGTTAATACCAATTCTCTCGAGCGTGATCCCGGATTACGTCCTCAAATAGACACATATCCACCTAATGAACGTGATAATGTTCGAAGAGCATATATTCTCTTAGGACCATGTCAACCACAATTAAAGGAATTTCCATCACACTTAGAAGGGAAACAAAAGCGTCGATTTGTTGGTAGTTGGTATAAGCAATACCATTGGCTTGAGTATAGTGTTCATAAAGACAAAGTGTTTTGCTTTCCATGCTTTCTTTTTGACATTGATCACTTACATAAGGCATTCACTGTAGAGGGATTTAGAAGTTGGAGAAGAGTTGGTGGAAAAGAGTGTGTTTTCCTTATTCATATAGGCAATATAAATTCACAACATCATTTTGCTATGCAAAAGTGGATGGATTTAAAAAACCCGTCTCACCATATTGACAAAGTAGTGCAAACCCCACAAGAAGTTGCAAACAACCGGTTGAGGCTTACAACCACAATAGAGGCGATTAGGTATTTAGCAAATCAAGGAATGGCTTTTAGAGGTGATGATGAATCTTATGACTCCTCTAATCGAGGCAATTTCATTGAGTTGGTGAAGGCTTTTGCAAGAATGAATGTAAACATTGAAAAAGTTGTGTTACAAAATGCTCCCTTGAATGCCCAATATATTTCAAATAAGATACAAAAGGAGATCCTAAGTATCTATTCTACCAAAGTGAGAAAAAGGATACGCGATGAAATTGGGGAAGATGGGAAATTTTGTATTCTTGTTGATGAAGCACTAGACGACTCTAAGAAGGAACAAATGGCTATTATCATAAGGTTTGTTGGTTGTGATGGGCATATTCAAGAAAGGTTTTTTGATATTGTGAGTGTTCATGATACTAACTCCCCAACTCTTAAAAGTGATATTTGTAAAGTTCTTGGCAAGCATAATCTTTTAGTGAGCAATATGCGTGGTCAAGGATATGATGGTGCTAGCAATATGCGTGGTGAATGGAGTGGCTTACAAGCATTATTTCTCAAAGATTGTCCATATGCATATTATATACACTGCTTTGCTCATCGTCTTCAATTAGCTTTAAATGGTGCAGCTAAAGAGGTAGGACTCGTTTGGAGATTTTTTTCAATGTTGAATAACATTGTGAATTTTGTTGGTGCTTCTGCCAAACTCCATTCTGAGTTAAAATTAACCCAACAAGCTGAAATTGAAGAATTACTAGCTGCTGGAAGACTTGGGACAGCTAAAGGGGCTAATCAAATTCGTTGTTTGCAACGACCTGGAAGTACTCGTTGGGGGTCACATTTTAATTCTATTAGGAGTTTGATTGATTTATTTGGTGCAACCAAGACACTTCTAACGGATATCAGTCATAATGGACCTACCTCACAATTTCGTGGCGAAGCAGAAGGTATTAAAATATCTATGTTATCTTTTGACTTTGTTTTTGCCTTGAAATTGTTGGACAAAACTATGAGATTCACTGATTTTCTTTGTCAAGAACTTCAAAGAAAATCTCAAGACATTGTAAAGGCTTTGAATTTGGTTGCAAGTACAAAAATGGAGCTTGATGAGTTGAGAAATAATGGTTGGAATGATTTTATACAGAGTGTGCAATCATTTTGTGAAGAACATGATATTAATATGCCTGATATGGGTGCCCGTCATACAATAGGCACTCGCCGTTCTTGTCAACAAAGAGATTGTATCACAGTTGAGCATTATTATCATATTGATATATTCAATGAGGTAATAGATTATCAGTTGGGGGAGTTAAATACTAGATTTCCAGATGGGACTGTGGAACTCCTTTCTCTTAGCTCAGCATTAGATCCTCGTGATGCTTTCAAGCAATTTAACATTGATGATATATGCAGTCTTGCTGAGAAATTTTACCCCTTAGATTTCACTACAACTGAGTTGCATGCTTTAAATCAGCAATTGGGATTTTATAAGATTGATATGGATCGCATTCAAGCCTTCAAGAATATTGATTCCATCCCTATATTACTTGAGCGCTTAATTGAGACAAAATTAGCAGAAACATACTACTTGATTGACAAATTGATTCGTTTGGTGCTAACTCTTCCTGTGTCTACAGCAACAACAGAACGAGCATTTTCATGTATGAGACTTATTAAAAATCGACTTCGGAATAAGATAGGTGATGAGTTTCTTGCTGATTGTATGCTACTTCATATTGAAAGAGAATTAGCTGATAATATAGATAATGAATCAATAATTGGTGATTTTAATGCTGTGAAGACTCGAAGGGTGCAACTTATATAAGTGCTATTTAAGGGGTAAGGCTCATTATGTCCCCCCCATATATTTTTTTGTTATCAATGAAATTTACTTGTACCGTTGAGTTTTCAATATGTTTGTACGTAAGGTAAATTTAGCCCATGCCATTTTGAAATCCTGGATCCGTCCCTGTATGTATATGCATGTGTCGACCAAACAAACAAAAAATGGTCAGTCCATCGAAGTCTTTGAATTAGGGCCTAAGAAAAGAAATGAGGTGTTTGTTTCGATGATGAAATCACATAATTAATGTACTGTGTATGTCTGAACTCGGCATATAAACATTACTTTTTGCGTGTGTATGCTGAAAAGGGGAGGGTTTGAATGTTAGGTTTATGTCTGAACAGTTGGTTATATTATATATAAGAAAAGTAGTTAGAAATATCAAGAATCAATTAATACTTAGCCATTAAGCTCTCTCTCTCTCTCTCTCTCTCTCTCTCTCTCTCAAAGTATGAACCTATAAATAAACAAGAGCTACATCAATCTCATTAGATACTACCAAGCAAGCTACATTGCATTTTCAGCGAGAGAAAAAGGAAGCGATATCACCAGAGTGCTTTGCTTGATTAAGAGACAAACAGAAGAGGAGAGAGAGAGATGCCGCCACCTGGACCGGGAGGAGGCCCACCGGGCTTTGGTTGCTTAGGCGGTATATGCCGCCTTATATCATCTTGGTGAGTTCATCACTTTGGCTTTTTATAATATTTTATTCATGTAATTGCCCTCCCAAATTATAAGTTAATAGAAAATGTAGCTGCATCTGCTGCATGCTTGTTTCAATTTTTCTTTTTTTCTTCTCATTTATGAAGGTAATTTCCTAATTATTATTATTATTATTCTAACTTTATTGTGTATATATATGGTGTGCACTGACTGTGCAGTGCTTATTTCCTGTGCTGCTGCTGCCTGTTGGAGAGCTGCTGTGGACCCATGTTTGGTGGGGGATTTGGTGGACCTGGTGGGCCCGGTGGTGGACCTGGTGGACCCGGTGGTGGACCTGGCGGGCCCCCTCGCTTTTGAATATGAGCTGGCTGCTGCTGCCTGTGATCTTCTTCTGCATAATGTTGAATTTCAAGTTCAATATATATATATATGATGTAATAACAAGTGAGACATGTTGGCATGTTGCTGCTGTTTTTCCAACCTGCAACTCAATATTCTCCCTATTTTAGTCCATATTTGTGTTTATTTTGCAATTTCTTTTTCATTTATTTTTTGTTTTTTGAGCAGAATTAATTAGTATTAATATTATGTATTTTGTAACCTTTGTTTACCAGATGATCCACCATCCATGACAATTAAATAAAATCTCTCCCTTTTTTTCCCATTACGATTCATGAAACAACATATATATCTCTTCCTAACCTAAAGCTATTAAGCTAAATGATCATTTCTTTTAATAATCATTTAAAGGTTACATATTCATTTTGGTGGGGGTGGCCGGTGGGTTCTGTACTTACCTTTCCTTACCTACCAGTCACTCTCACTCCAATAAATAAATAAAGGCCTAACTCTAGAAACTGCTTATACATTCCATTAATTCCGAACCCTCTTCCCTTCCCTGCAATGCAACTTTATAAAAATATGCACTTCTAGTGAATTAGAGAGAGAGAGAGAGAGAGAGAGAGATGCCGGGTTGGGAACCACCACCGGGAGGACCTCCAGGGCCGCCAGGGCCATGTGGCTGCTGTGCTTTCTGTTGTGATGGAATTTTCAGGCTTTTTTCTTCATGGTGAGTTGAGTACTAGTACTGTAAATCTTGGTTCCCATTCTTGCTAAAATGCTCTCTTATCTTTTTATATTCATAACATAATACTACTAGCTCTTTTAACTCACGTGCAAGTACTTTTGTTAAATAAAAAGAACCCAAATAAACAAATGATAAATAAATAAAAGAAATGATGGGGAGATGTTGTGTGAAAAAATGGAGGAAGGGATAACTATACATCCAGATATATCTATATCTCTGTATTAATAAGTGTGTTTTTTTGCTTTAAATTTTCGTGAATAGATTAGGTTTTTTACCTTCATAATATTAAATTGAAGTTTTTAGTAAACAAATATTCCAAATTTATTTATGGGTTGTTGAAAATTTCTGTAAACTCCCCTTCTTCATTTATAGAGTTATAGACATTAGATGTTTTTTACATTAATTATATTCAAAATTAATTGTAATTTTAAATCTCAAGGTGGTGGTTGTTGTAAGATAATACAAGGCCAAAAGTCACTTTTGGTCCCTTTGACACTTCAACCACTTTTGACTGTGTAGTTTTAATTTCGTCAATTTTGTCATTGTAGTTTCATAATTGTAACAATTTAAGGACAATTCTAATTTCTATCAAATTATTCTAACTTTTGTTTTGTTATCTATTAAGGGGTATTTTGGTCCAAACTTGCATCCCCTCCCCAACCAACCAACACTCAAGAATAGTCCCCCCCAACCCAACCCAACCCAACCCCAGCTAGCCACATCACCTCACCCTTCAATGACCGACACCACAGCCTCCAAGGCCGCCCCAACTCCAACAAAGGCACAAGGTAGAAGCAAGCAAGTAGAGAAGCTAGAAAAAGAAAAAGAAAAATGGTTTTGAAATTTTGGAAGGTGGGTGGAAGCTAAAAGATGAAATCAAACTAAGAAAAAAGAAAAAGAAAAAGAAAAATGGTTTGAAATTTGGGCGTCTGAGACAACTAGAAAATGACTCACATTCACATTGATGAAGATGAAGACAGCTAGCATGTTTGCCTATAAAATGAAGACAGAATGTTGTCATCCAAACACATTTGATCAAGGGAGTTAATAATGTACAAGTTTCATATATGCAAGTGCACCCAATAGATCGACAGATTGCTTGTTCGTCTGAAAAGGCAATATTGAATCACGCATGAAAAGTAACACCAAGTATTAGTGGTGAGAGAGAAATCTATAATGATGCTTCAAGGAAGTGTTTCTCTAGGTAAAAGGAAGAAAGGGCCAAAACGTGATAAAGCTTGATGAAACTGCATCTACTTCTCTAATCCATGTTTCTGCATCTCAACAACATCGCTTCCTCTATTTCTTCTTCTCCATTTCCTATTTCTTCCTCATCGGCTCCATTTGTAATATGTGCTGGAGTTGGGGCGGCCTTGGGAGGCTGTCGTGGCTTTCTAGGACCAAAATACCCCTGAATAGATAGCAGAAGTTAATAATAATTTGACAGAAAATAAGATTGTCCTTTAATTGCTACAAAAATGAAACTACAATAGCAAAATTGACGAAATTGAAACTACAAGATTAAAAGTAGTTGAAGTGTCAAACTAGAGGAACCAAAAGTGACTTTTGGCCATAATATAATTAGATATTTATAAAAATACCCAATCCTAGACATGTATTTATAAAAATACCCAAGCACTATTTAAACATAGAAACATACCCAAAATGGGTTTTGGGTATGCGTGTAATGATGAGTTTTGGGTATGTTTATAAATGGGTTTTGAGTGTGTGTAATGATTAGTTTTGGGTATGTTTATAAAGTGTTTTGGGTGTTTGGTATTTTTATAATTTCAGCCCCCATTTTGGGTATTTTAGTGAAACTCCCTAATATAATTCACCATTTGATCGTTTCCAACACGATCACAATTCTTTTTGTTTATGTTGGCAGTTTCTATCTCTTGTGCTGCTGTTGCATATTTGAGAACTGCTGTGGACCTGTGTTTGGTGGGCCACCTGGACCCCCTGGCCCACCTGGCGGGCCCCCTGGACCTCCCCCTCCTTGGTAGAAAGATCACGTGTGTGATATATCGATCACGAGTACATTTTATGTATATGTATGCAATGCAACTCCATATATCAACCTAGCTAGTAGCTACCTACTTCAAATTTGGCAAGGGGTTGTATTAATTTGTTGAAACAATCGTTTCCTTGGTATTTCACTGTTTGCCCTATTTTATGCTTATTCTGTGTGTAAACAAGTCGTTGCTTTATTATAATCTCTAGGGTTTTCTTTATACCATTGTTGTTGTTTTTTCTTTCTACTGTTATGGTATTTAATATCTAGGACTTGGGTTTGTATTAGAGAGATGATTATGAACCCCAAAACGACGTAATTTTGACCGTTTAAAACTGTGAATGAATAATCATATAACATTTCTCTCTTTTATTTTTATCAGATATAACATCTCTCCTTTTTTATTTTATTTTTTTCAGATATAACATTTCTCATTTTTAGCATAACAATATCACACCCTTCAAAAATATCCTAGGACAAAAAGGAAAAAAGCACAAAATTGTTACTATTGATTTCTGTGAAAAATTACACACATGTAAGTGCATGAAAATTTGTAAAACGCATTTTTGGAGCCTATGGACAAAGCCCTTCCCGTTCTATCATACAACATCATCAGAGAACACAATTCTTCGCTGTTGGGTCCTGCTTTGTTAAAAGCATCCGCTGCCAAACCGGACTTACGAAGAATCAATTGCTTCCTATTCTTCATCATTTTCTTCTTCTTCTTCTTCTTCTTCTTCGGATGCCTCTCTCAACCACTGAGACATAAGACATACAAGATGCAACTGTTGTGAAACAAGGCTAACATCATACGAAATTTAACTGGAGAAAACCGCTATTGGTACTTGTCATCAATTTTGGTTGCCAGAAATATCAGCCTGACTTCTTTTTCTTTCCAGTATTTAAGTTAACCCAAATTGCAAACTATTCTTATATTGCATGAATGGACAACACTAGCAAGCTTAAAAGCTCAGCCCCTAGCATGCAATTGCAAATGGGAAATGAATTTTTTTTTATTCCAATCGTGCAATGGCAGTGTGTGTATATGTTATAATGAACATTTAACGATCAGATAAGGTAATAAACATACTACTGAAAAATAAATTAAATAATGCCCCCCTCCCCCTCCCTGTCGAATGACCCAAAAAATAAGTTAAATAATAGCACTTACTTGAATAAACTTTTCCGCCTGCTTAACAAAAACTTTATCTGATTCATCAGCATCTTTCTTCTCATCATCCCACCTTAGAATAGCTTCTTCTTGTATAACTTCTAGGTCATACAGTTGATACAATATCTGTAAAAGAAAATTGCAACGGTCAGAAGATAAATCAAACTTGTCAACTTTACAACTTGCTTAAGAAAGAAAGGCTGGCAAAGCACTCAGCAGAAAAATATACACTATTTATCAAAGGAACAGAAGAATTACAGAATTCGAAACAACTGCATTTCTCTGATCTTTTACATCCTAAATATGAGCATAGAATTGTGGTATCAAGTTTTACATATGATTATAAACTACGTAGGTAGACATACCTTATCAAACACAGGGGCAAATTCCTTAGTGGACTCGCAAATTTCTTCAAGTTTAAGTATTACCTCAATCTGAAAGTACAGAACAAGTAATTCAATACAAGACATAAGCATTCACAATTTTACATAGGAAAAATTGGAATCGATTAGCAGCCATCAAAACTAAGGGATCTAGGTGTCCAGCATTATGTTAACTCTAGAACAGTACACATAATATCTACAAGTATTAATGAAAAGGATTCAAATACAAACCTCCTCATCTATTTCTGCTAGGTAATACTTCAGCAGTTTTTTCCATTTTGCAAGTACATTAGTAGTAGCTTGAACCAATTCACCTAAGAATTGAACAAGCATCATTTTGTTAAAACCATATGTCAAGAAGAAAGACATACAACTTTAGTAATATGAAAATAACATCTACACTGCAGCTTGACAAAGATTACAGTGTAATTGTACAATTATGACAGGGATGCTGTAAAATAGACTTATGAAACCTTGCCCACTTCGTGTATGCATGCATGAATTACCCAATGCGATCTTAACCTATGAAATAGCGAAAACCATCCCAAATTTTTTTTTACAACTTTCAGTATTGCTTTTTACTTTTGAGGACAATACCAATTGTTAAACATGAAAAATATAAGCATATTTCACAAAGTTTATTACTAACACAGGTTTCCAATCACCAAAAAATAAAGTTTTTTAAATGAAAACAGAATATACACATTGGGAAGAGAATAGCAAGTTCAGGAAGATTTACTTGCTGAATCATGTGGAGTTTCTAATGCCAATTTCATCAGTGAATAAAATAAACCTCCAGCACAGTCTGCAGCTACCTTGTTGTATGACAACCTTCAATGGAAAAACAAAATGACAAGCATCAATCACCAAATAATACACACTAAAGCATCATCTTAACAGAAATATCAAAAATATTTTATATGGTTGGCAGATATATCTTCAAAGGACTGTTGATGAAGATCAAAATACACAGTCAAATGGGCATGTAAGCATTGAAGGCATTCAATAA